TTTTACTTCCAAAGACAGATTTCTACATCCACCTTTTGTTATTGGCTATTCTATGCTAATGAAAATACAACATCTTTTTGCATGATTTATTAAAAGATACTGATATATTTGGTTGGTAAACTGAATACACTTCACTGATATATTCATTTTACTAAAAATTTAAGATTGATTTCGACAGAGTACTGCAATTCTGACACACAGTGTGATCTTGCACAACACATACAAAAGGAACAGTCCTTAGAGTACATTCTACAATCACTTCATTTCCTTTTAGAAAAAATTGGCTTTAACTTAAAAAAAATATATATAACATTCCCAGATGGCAACATATGACACTTTAATGTTGACAAAATAAAATGGAGTGAATTTACATGGAACAAAATGAAATTTGAGATTTCTAGTGCAATTTGAAATTTAAATCAATTTTGAGCATACTTTTGAATGGGGAAAGTCTCCTTGGCTGGCAGCTGAGAGGAGAGATCTTGTGGGAGACGTTCGTGTTCTTAAAGCTTTAAATTTTGAGCATTGCAATAATATGTACAACTTACTTAACTTCTTGAATGGAAGCAATAAGTATGTAAATGAATCCTTGGGTGACAGTCTGGGACTCGGAGATCGTGAAGAATATAGATTCCAATAGTCAATCCTGTTCAAATAGTGATGTGCAGGTTATCAGACCAATGAAAGTCCATTTCAGTTTATACTTTCAGTTGATAGGAGAGAATGTTTTGGTGCCATTAACCAAGTCTCACATGATGGACCAGACTAACCTTACAATATAGGCTGGCTTCAAGGTGGACTTTCCCACAGGACCAAGGATTGTCACAAGACTGTTTGCCACAGGACCAAGGCTTGTCACAAGACTGATGTTTGCCACAGGACCAAGTCTTATCAATGGACTGATGTTTGCCACAGGACCAAGGCTTGTCATGAGACTGATGTTTGCCACAGGACCAAGTCTTGTCACTAGACTGATGTTTGCCACAGGACCAAGGCTTGTCACTAGACTGATGTTTGCCACAGGACCAAGTCTTGTCACTAGACTGATGTTTGCCACAGGACCAAGGCTTGTCAATGGACTGATTTCTGCCACAGGACCGAGGCTTGTCAATGGACTGATGCTTGCCACTGGCTGAGCTTTTGCCATGGAACCAAGTCTTGCCAGAGAGGCTTGTCTTGCCATCGGACTCAAGTCTCACCATTGGACCAAGGTTCAAGAAAGGATCAAGTCTTGTCACTGAACAAAGTTTCGCCACAGGACCAAGTCACACCACTGGACAACATTTAACCACAGGACCAAGGTTTGTCAAAAAATCAAATCCTGTCAAAGAAGTTACTTTGGCAGTACGACCCAATGTTCACTGTAAAACTGTCGAACACTTAACTGTCTTCACAATACCCCAAGAATCTTGAATTTCGACTCTCATTCTATGGACTTATCCCTTNACTTAAAAAACAAACAAATAATGCTTCTAAAAAAAAAACAAAAAGGCGTTTGCCTTAATGGATGCCTAGTAACTGGCGTGCTACAATTTGCGAAACTAGCGATAGCCTGCGGAGCGTGAATGTGCACACAAAGAAAATATGGCATTTATTCCAGATAAATGTTCGACGGAATTGATAAAAACTGTCACAGGGTTTACTTTGCATATTGACATTGCCATGTTCGGGGTGTTTCGTCGATAGTTGATATACGATTTGGCCGCGATATATTGTCAACGCTTGACACTTCGATGTCTTTTTGTTCCAAGTTGAGAAATAAAGAATACCAACAACGATTTTAACATTTGTCGCTTAGAATACCAGTTTTCACTGCTTGCGTCAATTCAGTCAAGTCACAGTTACCTTAAATCCACTAGGTTTTTAACGAGACGAGAGGAATACATAAAACGCTCACCACTATATCAAGCGCCTGCTAATTAGAAATTACACGCACAGTGCGGTTTCTTTATTGCAAGGGCAGAATTATGACATGGTTCCAACACATTCATCAGCGTTTGCGTCACGATTGCCGGCAGAATACTAACACGACCTAACTTTGTGTCCTCTGCTCATTGTGATCAGCAACTGCTCCAATTATAACTCAGTCGCTGAATCATTTTCTTTTTTACAATGCAAATTTTATAGCTCAATGACAGTTTTAGTAATTTCTTATGGAAACACGAAGTAAATTGTCGCCGAGTGCTCATGCGCTGAGGGCGACGCCCCGCATGCGAATCATGCGAAGAGATTGTCGATTATTTTTTTAATTCTTAATTATTTGTTCTCAGCCGTTTCAAAGTCGAATGATCACTATGGAAAAATTATTTATTTATTATTATTATTTATTTATTTTTTTTTTTTTGGGGGGGGGGAGATAACATTTGTATGAAGACTGGCGTTTATACGGGTCACGCACTTCACTCACTCCTATACGGTTCAAGAATCTACCTCCACCCCCCTCCAACTCTGTTGTTCTACATATATGGAAAAAATATGTACGAGTGAAAATATAGATAACAAAGTAACGCGTTTGTGTAAATAAAATGCACTTGATCACCATTACATTAGATAAAAATGCAGCGATCAAATTCACCAATATTTCACTTTTCCTTTTATATCAAAATTTTAATGTCCCTTTTTGATCGAAGCCGTTGCCACTTCTGCACAGTGTTCTTAGTGGTTGACAGATGACATTATTATTATTTCTGACTAATATAAGCAGCTCCGTTTAAAACAAACAGGGCAGGAGCTGGACCTTATGCGTCTATAAATAACGTGATAAATTGATAAAGTATTTAAGACAGAAGCTCTCTGGTGCCAATTAATATATGGCTGATGATCAAGTGTTATAGAAAATGGTCGTAAAGCAACAAAACAACAGCACTTCACTATTCCAAGGGTAAAAGTTGCTATTATTTTCTACTCTGATCGGTGTTTTACACCTGTTTACTCCAAGATACAAGTCACGATATACACATAATTCTTTGATCTAAACCGCCCACATCGCACTTGGTGCCGGTTACATTTAAGCTTTTAAAATGCGTATTTCAATTGCATGGCATTAAGAACACAAAACACCTGAAATAGAAAGTCAAAAACGAGTAAAACACGTGCAAGCAACCCCGTGTAGTCATCATGTCAACTATGACAACAACACTATTCTATTTTCAATACCCTTCATGATTATCTTTTCAATGACAAGTTTCCTTTTTATTAACAAATAGCCTTAAAATCGCGTCATTACAGTAACGTTTCAAGTACCAATTAGCAAGGTGAAGATCGTCATTAAGTACGGGATAAATAACAATGTACAATGATGTTATCCACAGATGGGAAAACATCCTACGACATTAGAAGCTTAAAGGAGCAACAGCATTTTTGAGATTCAGTTTCACTTAATTTGTCGAACCAGGAAGTTAATTTGGTGCGAAGACTTTCTCACCAGTGTTCAGATGACTCGTTGAACTATAAGACAACACATAATCTTCAAAGACAATCAAAAGAAAATACAAATAGTTTGATCAATGAAAAACTAATGAAGATTTCAGATCATGAGTTGCTTTTACAATCTTGCTCAATTCTTTCTTCCTTAACAAATGCACAATTAATAAGTGATGTAGAGTATTTAATTATAAGTAAACTACTAAAACCATGCAGTATGTTACTATGGACATTTTAATGCCAACTATTAATTGCTTACTTAATTTTCTTTGCTAAACAATGTACAGTATTACATTAAGTTTACATTAAGTTTTTATGGGAACACATACACTAACTTTCTTTGAAAGTGAATTATTGCCATAGCTACTCATATTTTAATGACAATGTAACATTTGCAGCATTCCAAGTAAAAAAAAAAAATATATATATATATATATATATATATATATATATATATATATATAGTATGGGAAAGTTTATATCAAACCAACAGAAATCAATATTAACAACACCCTACACAGAACAACTTCTGCAATGGTTAACATGTTTGAACAACTACATAACAAGATCTTCATGTTTGGTAATCTTCACTAAATTCTAACAGAACACATAAACACATTCACATTGGTTATACATATACATGCATTTCTTTACATGATCATGAACACTGCTGGAAGGGGTTTGTCTTACAGGCAAATCTCTCTATTCAGTTCTTATAGAAACTGCACGTGACTTTCCTCATGTAGCGATTGTGTACTTAAAATCACTTACAAATCATATTCTCTCTATTTTATCTATCACTTGAGGGGAAAAAATCTTCAAATGAACAATTTTTTCTCCTGGTTTTCTCTTGAGAAAAACACCACAAGGTGGTGTGTGACCAAGACAAGCCAAAATGAAAGCCAGCTTCAATGATGCTTCAAAACAGAGGAGGTGCTGTGTAACATTCAATATGGCACTCTCTTCAACATTAGCCCGACAGCAGGCTAGTTTCAGTTTTTTTTTACTTCCAAAGACAGATTTCTACATCCACCTTTTGTTATTGGCTATTCTATGCTAATGAAAATACAACATCTTTTTGCATGATTTATTAAAAGATACTGATATATTTGGTTGGTAAACTGAATACACTTCACTGATATATTCATTTTACTAAAAATTTAAGATTGATTTCGACAGAGTACTGCAATTCTGACACACAGTGTGATCTTGCACAACACATACAAAAGGAACAGACCTTAGAGTACATTCTACAATCACTTCATTTCCTTTTAGAAAAAATTGGCTTTAACTTAAAAAATATATAACATTCCCAGATGGCAACATATGATGCTTTAATGTTGACAAAATAAAATGGAGTGAATTTACATGGAACAAAATGAAATTTGAGATTTCTAGTGCAATTTGAAATTTAAATCAATTTTGAGCATACTTTTGAATGGGGAAAGTCTCCTTGGCTGGCAGCTGAGAGGAGAGATCTTGTGGGAGACGTTCGTGTTCTTAAAGCTTTAAATTTTGAGCATTGCAATAATATGTACAACTTACTTAACTTCTTGAATGGAAGCAAAAAGTATGTAAATGAATCCTTGGGTGACAGTCTGGGACTCGGAGATCGTGAAGAATATAGATTCCAATAGTCAATCCTGTTCAAATAGTGATGTGCAGGTTATCAGACCAATGAAAGTCCATTTCAGTTTATACTTTCAGTTGATAGGAGTGAATGTTTTGGTGCCATTAACCCAGTCTCACATGATGGACCAGACTAACCTTACAATATAGGCTGGCTTCAAGGTGGACTTTCCCACAGGACCAAGGATTGTCACAAGACTGTTTGCCACAGGACCAAGGCTTGTCACAAGACTGATGTTTGCCACAAGACCAAGGCTTGTCACGAGACTGATGTTTGCCACAGGACCAAGGCTTGTCACGAGACTGATGTTTGCCACAGGACCAAGGCTTGTCACTAGACTGATGTTTGCCACAGGACCAAGGCTTGTCAATGGACTGATTTCTGCCACAGGACCGAAGCTTGTCAATGGACTGATGCTTGGCACTGGCTGAGCTTTTGCCATGGAACCAAGACTTGCCAGAGAGGCTAGTCTTGCCATTGGACTCAAGTCTCACCATTGGACCAAGGTTCAAGAAAGGATCAAGTCTTGTCACTGAACTAAGTTTCGCCACAGGACCAAGTCACACCACTGGACAACATTTAACCACATGACCAAGGTTTGTCAAAAAATCAAATCCTGTCAAAGAAGTTACTTTGGCAGTACGACTCAATGTTCACTGTAAAACTGTCGAACACTTAACTGTCTTCACAATACCCCAAGAATCTTGAATTTCGACTCTCATTCTATGGACGTATTCCCTGTGGTCCTTGCCACAGTGCCTGGCTATAGGGCCCTGATGCTGCATAGTTAACTTGATCACTTTGTTGTTTTCCCATTATGAACATCTGAAAAGAAAGGAAATGCAAATTACAACCTAAACTTAAAAGATGATTTGAATTTTTTTTAAATAATTTACTTTTTTAATCTAAAATGGCAAAGAACTTGAAGCAACCTACCAGCATCAAAAGTCATCTCCACAATCACATTTAGACTATTTAAGACATAGTAGACGTAGCAACTTCCATTTCAAGTAACTCTCATAAAAAAAAGGAATTTGCATGAAGATTTTATGATAAAACAAGAAAAAGAAAGAAATCAGTCTTAAAATTAAAATAAATTAGTCTTAAGATAAAGGATGTGAAAACGGAAAAATAGTAATCTTTCCACAAATTTCCCCTTAACTTAAAAGAGTTCATCATTGATAGAATGTAAGCCCCAGATACCAACGGGTTCTTCTCTCAAAGGTAACTACAAAATCAGTGAAGCAATCATAAAGTAATTATCTAATCACAGCACTGCCTTCGTGGAGCCAGGGACGCAAGGGTGCACATGCTGGCTGACCAGAATCGAAAAGATGACACGTGCTCAGGTGTGAACTGGAGGGTCAGAGCGGTGCCCGCATTACAGAGGTGGAGAAAAGTGGTCCCAGAATTCATGCTGCAAGTTTGGCTCTGCCACATTACGAGAATTGATTTCTTACTTCCTACTTTAATGTTAGCCACCGCCAGAACCAGGAGTCAATACTAGGAGGCTTAAAGTACCCATACAACACCTCTCATATGAACTTTTTTCCCTAATTTCCTCCACATCTGAAATTTTTCTTCACAACAGGGTTAATGCATTAAAATATGTTTTGTTTTTCTTCCCAATTAATTTGTTTTCTAATCAAAAACAAAATTTTATGTTTTTAATCAAATGGTTATAAAAACAACTGGGTACTCCAATCAATAGTTGACAAGCACTTAAAATATCAAAATATTTCAGACAATTTCATTTACTTCTTTTGCTGCTCCCTGTCTTATAAAAAAAAAAAAACTTCTCATCTCATTTCCAGAAATATCCAGCAGCAAAGAGTCATTACCAAATATCCTTTCGTCGACATATGTGCAACCTTTTCACACCTAACTGAACTATTTCTTAATTTTCATTAAGAAATATCGAAGTCTAACTCAATGAACATTTTCTGTCAGCATCTGATTTATGTTTCGCTCCCATATCTATCATCATTTAACCTCAAGTCCTTAAATACCATCGTTTGATCTTGCCCGACTCACACATGTACATCCCTTTATTTAATTCCCTACAATTTCATTACAAAATATCACTGCATATTCTAATTTGATCAACTTTTTCATGATTCATGCTCATACGCTGCGTTCACTTAACCACCTCAATTGATCTTCAAGTCTGTCTACACGCGGCTGCTGATCTTCAAGGCCCCGGGCTGTGGAATAAAACTCATCAGGTTTCCAGTAATGGCTTAGTACATGTCAAGAAAATTGTGAAATGAAAAATAATATTCAATTGGGGGTAGGTTACACAGGTGTCTCATTGCATGGCCTGCAGCATTACTATACGAGGTTAGGCACCTAAAGATGGAGAGAGTCCTCTGCACTGTTTCACAATGAGAGAACATGTTGTGAGGTTGATCATCAAGATCGGAGTCCTACAGTATAGTGTTACTGATAAATGGAAAGGCTTACACCTATAAGAGTTATTATTCTGGATAAATGTATTTGGTGCTCGCAATATTACACAGTAAAATATCACTGTTATCAATCTTAACAGCCTTCTGCCAAATGATCAATTCTTTAAAATATTTGACGTTCTTTCTAGATCATCAATAAGGCCACCATCAAAAATGTACTAAAACCACTGTAATTCTTTTTGTAGGTTATTTTGCCACATAGTTTCATACATATTATCTGAATATTCTTTCCAAAACAAGGCATTAATGGCAAGATCGCATGCACAGGCCATCAAATTATTCATTTCTTGCACTTTCACAGGAATTTTTCCTGAAGCATGATTCTTTCCGAGTTCGAACTAAAGATAAGAGGCAAAGGTGCAAATTCCCAAATATTGTTTACATTTAGCTATCATGCAATTTGTGATACAGGATGACGCAGACTGTACTTTTCACACCTGCGGAGGGCCAATCTTTGGACACCTTAGACACACCTTATTAATGTGGTTCTATAAAAGGAGACTTAAAAGCTTTTTTCCATTAATACACTTCAAAATATTTTTAACAGGGAGAATATATCTCTTTTCACAGCAAGTTCCACATAGCACAATAGATACCATTGTGCAGAAAGCACTGGTCTATTTATACATGTTGTGTTTGGAGACATTTTAAGGTCTCGAGTACAGTGATTATTTACAAAATCATATTTCCCAACAATGTCTAATTATTCCCATTAACAATTATATAAATCTAGTTATTTCTGATTTTCAAAAGTAAGGTGAATTTGAGGTACTTTACTATTCGCTGTATTGTAAAAACAAACATGAAACTAAAGAAGTAACAGACTGAAAGATTTTATAACAGTGTTCATTTTGTTTTCTCAATAAATTTGTCAAAAAAAAAAAAATAGTGCAACAAATTCCCCTTTTCTATGTTGACATCATTATTTCATTTTTTTCCCTTTATCTTTTCAACTAAGAAGGCAGCAACTCCTGTAATTTAGGCACTTAATGTTTTGTCCTCAAACAAATGGAATTAAAATGAGCCATTAGTCCAAACAAGCTAATGTTAAAATGTTGATATTTCTAAGAAGCAACAAATGAGAAGTATGGGCCATGCCATTAACTTTTAGAGTAGACCATGAAGCTGTGACAAAATTTCAATGCAAAACAAAATTAAGGTCACTAATCGACAGAAAGCATTTCTATGAATACCGTATGAGAACCCAACTGGGCCGTACTTAGTCTAACGAGTTATTACGCCAATGGTAATTGAGAGAAAGATGCACATAAAAATCCAGCTGACCTAACACCTCTGATTTTTAAGTTCAAATTACTTGTAGGAAATGCTAGTTTCACACTTTGCCTGAATAATTTCATGAATCTGAAATTGCGTTTTCGGTATTCTGTCGATATCTCCAAGTGTCCCCTCTCCTTTACCGGGGGTTCACAATGGCTTATTCATTCAAAACTCGGCAACAATTCAACCACATAGTTCATTATAAAGCAATTACCACTTGACAAAAATATGTGATGTATGCCATAAAGGCATTAATATTCATATGCCATTAACTTTGATCTCTGGTGAGGAATTAAGGGAAATAAATGGGGGCTGGAGCATACCCTGTTTGCGCACCTTGGACAGCAGGTGTTTGGCGCACAGCCGCCTAGCAGACGTTAATGTCTTGTTTGACACTGAAAATATTGTGACAACAAATGTTTGATTTTAAAAGGGAGCAAACCCCTGGGATAGAGTGCTAGGTACCATCTGAGAAGAATAATCTCCTAAAGAAGAAAGATATGCTTCATTCAGCAAATAACAGAACTGGAAATAAAATATACACCAATTGTAAATTATGAAATGCAATTTATTTTTTAGATGGCTTGGCTTTTCTGGAAAAAATAATTTATTTTCACATATTACAAGTATTTTGTTTAAAAGATGATGAAAAAGTTCCTGTAAGATCACTGGATCTTGGGTATGTCTTGAAGGATTCCAGGTTGTAGGAAAAAGGTAGGATGAAATGGCTCAGTGGCCTTACAGCAGAGGCTGGGGCCTCGCTTAAGACAGAAAACTGCCTAGAAAAAAGTTTTTCCATGTAAAGCAAAAAAAAAAAAGTTAGAGAATTTTAAAGTTGCTGTCAGAGAAATCGGGTGTTAACATTCCCATCACCATTTTATTTTTTGTCTCAAATCAAAATTCTGTGCCCGTGACTACTACATAACATAATTTGCAATTAATAGTCTGTGTTGCAGTTTATTGTCTGCGTTACAGTTTAAAGTCCTGAGTTACAGTGGATTCCAATGTGTTTGCAGTGAGTAAGTTGCCTAATTGTCTCTGTAGCATGACGGCTAATGACATGGTGCATCAGTGCAGACCCATCTATGCACAGAAATGTTCCCAAAAAATCTTACCTAATTACTAAAAATACAACATTGGAATTCAAGGGACAATACATTATCTAATACAGATGTTTGAAGATAAATCTACTAAAAGTGCTACTAAAAGTATGCGTATGCAAATCAAATGTAATTCATTTATCACGTCAACCTCCCCCCTCCCCCCATGCCTATTGTGCCATCAGCCACCCATTACCCATTTCAAAATATTTGTACCTCCAATAACTCCCAAAGCTACCTATCAAATATATGCTGAACAGTTTGTATGACTCTCCCATGGCACAAGGTAGTAACTCAATTCCACTTTAAAAACCCCAAGCAGATCTTTACAATGAATGCATTCCATGACATCTCCGGACAAATTACCCCATTTGGACGAACCCTGATAAAGCGTACCTTTCAACACTAAAAGCCAGTTTTAAAATGAAGATGATTGAGAAATAATGGCCAATGCACCATGACTATAGATTTTTATCACATTCACTTAAAGCTATTTCTGTCCATTACTGGATCATCTTCCATCATCCTATTCCAAGATGGAACCAAGGTGTTGATTGGGTACTGATAGCATGGAAATGGGTCACACTTAGTGATTGGACAACTTCTGTATTATGTCTTTGGGCAAAATTTTGGGTTTCAGCAAATATGGAAAAAATATATATATGTATATAACTAAATAAGTTTTATCTTAAAGGAAGACTGTCTACACCATCCGGAACAACAAATTTTAGTCTTTACCATCTTAGCTAAAACCTTGTCATTTTTAAATTAAAAAAAAATTCAAAGCAAATCAATAAATTCGCCAAACAATTCTCTTGGTAGCTTAGATGTCTCCCTTGCACACACACACACACACACACACACACACACACACACACACACACAGAAAAAAAATTATGCTTGAATTGCCAAATCCTATTAACAATGTCAGGATTAACTTGCCCAGGTAAATCAATAACATAAACAATCCTGGCACAGG